ACCCGACTTGTCTGGCTGATGCTCTGGGGGGGCCTGTGCTCAGGGGAGGCTGCAGCACCGCTCAACGATGTGCTGTTTAACCGAACCTGCAGGGTGGGCCCTTTCCCAAATCCGTGCTTCGGTGCGGATCGTAAGCGCGCCTCGTCTCCGTCGTCGTCGTCGTCGTCGTCGGCGTCGTCGTGGTCGTGGTGCGTGTTGCTCTGCTCGGGATCCTGTTTCCCTTATGCAGAGACCACCACCACCCCCTCCTCCTCCCTCCTCCCTCCTCCCTCCCCCCTCCTCCCTCTTCCCTCCTCATCCTCCCTCCTCCCTCCTCCCTCCTCCCTCCTCCCTCCCTCCCTCCCTCACTCGTTCCCTCCCTCCTCCCTCCTCCTCCCTCCTGCCTCCTCCCTCCGCCCTCAACAATTCTCCCTCCCTCCTCCCCTCCCTCCTCCCTCCTCCCATCCTCCCTCCTCCCTCAACAATTCCCTCCCCCTCTCCTCCCTCCCTCCTCCCTCCTCCCTCCTCCCTCCTCCCTCAACCATCCTCCTCCCTCCCGCCTCCTCTTTCCTCTTCCTCCTTCTTCCTTCTCCCTCCTCCCGACCTCCTCCTCCTCATCATCCTCCTCCTCCTCTTCCTCCTCCTCCCTCCTCCTCCTCCTCCTCCTCCTCCTCCTCCCCCTTCTACTCCTCCTCCTCCTCCTCCTCCTCCTCCTCCTTCTCCTCATCCTCCCCCTCCTCCATTACATTACATTCCTTAAGAATTGCTTCCCCTGTCGCACCCCGAGGCGAGTTTCTAGGATGAGCCGTGCGCTTCGCCTGATACGTCTTTATCATGTACGACCCTGATCTTATTTCTAAAAGAATTGAACAACGAGCACACACAACAAAACAACAACACAACAAAACATTGCCACGGATGGAGGGCGGGCCGTTTTCACAATGTGGCTCTCGCCTTAGCACCGCGCACATTCGTTTTCTATAATCACGCAAGAGCTTCACGTATTGAGGGCGGGTCGTTTTCAAAATGCGGCCCTCGCCTTACCACCGCGCACATTCGTTGTAAAACTGAGCACGAGCTTTACGGGTTGAGGGTGGCCCGTCTTCAAAATGTGGCAGGTTGCATAAGGCTCACGGATTGAGGGCGGTTCATGTTCGAAATGTGGATATCGTCTTAACACCGCGCACAATCATTTTCCAAAGTTGCACGAATTTCACGGATCCCCATGATCAGCGTACCAGAAATAACGCTTTGGAGAGATTCCGGGTTATGAGGGCGCAACAGTTACGCTAATTCGCAGGTGATGAAGTCCAAGGAATGGCGTTGTGGCATTCCAGATCGTCAAGACAGAGCAGTCATGAAGAATCCGTGGCGTTTGAATCCCGAGAACCATGTTTTGGCATGCTTCAGGGTTTTCAAACGGTTGTCTTCCAGCGAGGCAGGTCCCTCAGTGGAAATGAACCGTTGTAGGGGCCTTTGAAGAGGGAGCTTGGAGGGAGGGTTTATTTCAACATCCTTGATGGGTTTACACTGGTCCTCCTCCTCCTCCTCGTCCTCTTATGTCCCCGCCCCCGCCCGCGGTCTCCGCCAGCGGTCTCCCTGGAGACCCCCGAAGCCTTACAAAGGCCTTTTGAAAGGCCTCTGAATGGTCAAGAGAATGCCAAAACGCATCCAAAGGCTCCCTTCTCCTCCTCCTCCTCTTTCTCCTCCTCCTCCTCCTCCACCTCCTCTTCCTCGTTCAACCACGCCCTCCTCCACCTACTTCGTGTCTCCATCCTCCTCCTCCACCTCCTCCGCCTCCTCTTCGACTTCCTCGTCCTCCTCCTCCTCCTCCTCCTCCTCCGCCTCCTCCTCCTCTTCCTACTCCCCTCCTACTCCTCCTCCTCCTCCTCCTCCTCCTCCTCCTCCTCCTCCCTCCTCCTCCTCCTCTCCTCCTCCCCTCCTCCTCCTCCTCTCCTCCTCCTCCCTCCTCCTCCTCCCTTCCTCCTCCTCCTCCTCCCTCCTCCTCCTCCTCTCCCTCCCCTCCTCCTCCTCCTCCTCCTCCTCCTCCTCCTCCTCCTCCTCCTTCGCCTCCTCCTCCTCATCCGCCTCCTCCTCCGCCTCCTCCTCCTCCTCCTCCGCCTCCTCCTCATCATCATCCTCCTCCTCCTCCGCTTCCTCCTCCTCCTCCTCCTTCTCCTCCTCCTCCTCCCGCCCGTCGACGCAGAAACCTCCTCCAGTCCCTCCCGTCATCGTCCAGCCTCCAGCCTCCTCCTCATTCTCCTCTTCCTGGCCCTCCGTTCTCTCCCATCCCTTTGTTTTTTTTTGTTCTCTCTCTCTCTCTCTCTCTCGCACGCAACCGCTGGCCACAGCCAGCACGGCACTGCCCCTCGCAGCGGTTCCTGACTGAGCTCCGATCCGATCCGATCCGACCCTGCCGCATGACCTCCCTTGCCGGGCGCGCCGCGAGGAGAGCCGCACGGCGGCGGGCGCCGGAGCGGAGAGGGGAGCAACGACAGGAGGGAGGTGCCGAGAGCCTCGCCTGCACAGGTGCTCGAGGAGTTCCCCGCCGGGGCAGTACTCAAAGAGGTAGTACAACTTCTCCTGGCCCGGGGGGGGGGGGGGGGCAAAAAAAAACGGCGCCAGGTGATGCGCCGTTTGTGGGATCTGAGGGTCCTTGCCGGGCCCTGGGGCCGCCAGAAAACGGCATAAGATGAACAGCCCCATTCCTCGGGAAAGAGTCTGGACTTCTGGGCAACCTCGTTCCAAATAAAATCACGTCGTCGGATGTCTCAGCTTCCCGATACCCAGCAGATCCAGATGGATCCAGAGGGGCTAGCTGGGGACGGGAGTTACCCCACAAACGTTTATGCGATCGATCGGGGAGGCACCCGAAAGGGCTACCCGACACAGATATATATATATATATATATATATATATATAGGAATAGAACACTCGGACACGACATCAATGCGCTGGACCCAATAGCAGCCATCGAAAGTGGCGACAATTTCGAAATTCGCAGCCCACCAGCGACGGCGAGGTCCCGCTCTGATCTGCGTAGGACGTCAGTCCGCTGGACCCACCAGCAACCTTCGAAAATGGCGACGCTTTCGCAATTCGATGCCCCCCGACGACAGCGAGGTCCCGCTCTGATCTGCGTAGGACGTCAGTCCGCTGGACCCACCAGAAGCCTTCGAAAGTGGCGACAGGTTGGCGCAGTTCGAAGCCCCCCAGCGACGGCGAGGTCCCGCTCTGATCTGCGTAGGACCTCACTCCTCTGGGCCCACCAGCAACCTTCGAAAAGGGCGACAATTCCGCAATTCGAAGCCCCTCAACAATGGCGAAGTCCAGCTCTGATCTGCGTACATCAGTCCACTGGACCCACCAGCAGCCTTCGAAAGTGGCGACAGGTTGGCGCAATTCGAAGCCCCCCTTAGCGATGGCGAGGTCCCGCTCTGATCTGCGTAGGACGTCACTCCCCACCAGCAGCCTTCGAAAGTGGCGACAATTTCACAATTCACAGCCCCCCAACGACGGCGAAGTCCCGCACTGACCTGTGTAGGACGTCACTCCGCTAGAACTCCCAGCAGCTTTCGAAAGTGGCAACGGTTTAGCAGATCGCAGCCCACCAGGGACAAGTATGGTGAGGTCACGTAGCACGCTACGGTAAGAGGCAGGCTGGCAGGCAGGACAGGAGAGGAGGAGGAGGTGTGAGAGGCGGGACGAGAGGGAGAAAGACAGAAAGGAGAAAAGAAGCGGGAGACGGGAGGAAACGCGCGCGCAGGGCTCTAGTCAAAACGGGAACCCAACTAAGGAGAGTTGGAGCTCTCAGCAGTTCCAAGGAGAATCACAGCTAGCGTCTCAGAAATATTGTTTTGGCATGATGTCGGACCGTCAGGGCGCAACAGTTACGCGGATTCGTAATGTTGAAATCTCAGGAATGGTGTTCTGGCCCGACTCAAGCTCGTTAAGACGCAACAGTAGCGGCGATTCGCGGCGATGACGTACCAAGAATGGTGTTCTGGCACAGTGCGTGATTCGGGTCCCTATCCTCCTCCTTATCCTCCTCCTTCTCCTCCTCCTCGTCCTCCTCCTCCTCCTCCTCCCCTCCTCCTCATCATCCTCCTCTTCATCCTGCTTCTCCTCCTCCTCCTGTTATTCCTTCACCTCTCTTCCTTACAGATCACTCCTCCCTGCCGCGCCCCGAGACGGGTCGGTAGGTCGGGCCTGGCGTTTCGCCTGATACGTTCGCCTCCGCGCTGCGCACATTCTTCTTAACGGCTTGCAGGAGCTTCACGGGTGGAGGGCGGGCCGTTTTCAAAATGTGGCTCTCGCGTTCGCGCCGCGCACATTCGTTTTAAACGTTTGTGAGAGTTTCATGAAGGAGCGGATCGTTTTCAAAATGTGGCCCTTCGCCTTAGCGCAGCCGGCTCTGAAGCAGATGGCCAAACAACCCCAATGAAGTAAAGGACCACCTGCCCCGCCAAGCACGAGGATGAGTAGAAGGAGGAGGTGGCGGATGAGCAGGCGGATGAGCAGGAGGTAGGGAAACCCATGCCTTCCAATTGTGCTGCATCATTTTGTTCCATCCGCCGACCAACGTGCCCTAGAAGACTGTAACTGCCAAAAGGCAGGTGCTGGATTGCAGGATTGGCCGGTCGCTTGCTGCCTAATCGGGAAGCAAGGGCTCTTGCACGTTGGAGACAAGCGGCGGAGCAGCAGAGGGAGGAGCAAGGAAGAAAAGAAAAAGAGGATGACACGAGCAGCAGTCGGAGCCGGACCAGCAGATGGAGCAGGAGGAGCAGAGGAAGGAGGATGAGGGGACAAGAGAGAGACGGCAACGACGAGGAAGGAGGAGTGTGGACCAGCCTGGGGTGAGTGCGGCAACCCGACTGATGGGGACAGTGTGCCCGTCAACCTGTGACCAACGGCGAGTGGCAACACAGCCTACAAAAACAAGCCAGCTGACAAAGGACAGGTTGCCAGGTGGAGAAAGGGCGTTTTGCACTCTGGATGAATAGCTTTAGAAAGGAGGTGGGCAAGCAAGGGGAGGTCGGGAATGGCCGTCGAGGTCCAGGCATCGCCGCCATGATCGTCACTGAGGCCCAGGCGACCGCAGTGGTATTGGCATTACTGGTGTGAAGCCCCCGACAAGCTCCACGTGGTTGTTGGCACTGGCTCGGCCCTCTTCAAGCTACAAGACCAGACACGCTGGAAGGAGATGAGGTATCTGAGAACAAGAAGACAACTGATACAATTGTGAACCAGATGTGAATTCAAAGACTGGCTAAACGGAAGAGGAAGAGGATGAGGAATAAGGCGCCATGCTGTCTGACTCCATGGATCGTGGCCCATGGCAGGTCGGCATCAAAGGGAGGTGAAAGAGGATGATGATAATGAGGAGGGGGGGAGAAGACAAGGAAAGCGGGAACGGGGAACGGGAGGGGAGTTGGAGCACTGGCAGATGGGGTGCTCCGCCCCCGCCCACCCCCCCTCCCTTCCACTTTCCACTCCTACCCCTTCGATATCCTTCCTTCCCACCTTCCAATCATCCATCCTTCCTCCTTCCCCTCAACTCTCCACCCTCCTTCCCCTCCTCATCCTGATCCTGATTCGGATCCACATCCTCATACCATTTCCCTCCTCCTCGTCATGCCGCCCTTATCCTTCCTCATCCTTATCCTCCTCCACTTCCTCCTCATCCTCCGCCTCCACCTCCTCATCATCATCATCATCATCAGCATCATCAGCATCATCAGCATCATCAGCATCAGTATCATCATCATCATCATCATCATCATCGTCATCATCATCATCATCAGCATCATCATCATCATAATCAACAGGATCATCAACATCATCACCAGCAGCATCAGCATACTCAGCATCATCGTAATCAACATCAGCAGCATCATCATCGTCGTCATCGTCAGCACCAGCATAATGATCAGTATCATCAACATCATCATCATCAGCATCAGCATACTCAGCATCATCGTAATCAACATCAGCAGCATCATCATCGTCGTCATCGTCAGCACCAGCATAATGATCAGTATCATCATCGTCATCATCATCATCATCTTCATCAGCATCATCATCAGCATCCTCAGCATTAGCCTCCTCCTCATCATCATCATCCTCATCACCAGCATCATGATCAGAATCATCATCATCATCATCATCATCATCATCATCATCATCATCATCATCATCATCATCATCATCATCATCGCCATTCTCATCGTCATCAACACTACAACAGTCAGCATCATCAGCAACATCGTCAGTATCAGCATCAGCATGATAATCATCATCCTCATCAACATCAAGATCATCATCAGCATCACCGTTATGATCATTATCATCATCAGAGTCAGCATCAACATCACCATCGCCATCTCCATGAAAGCATCATCACCACCATAAGCATCATCATTCTCATCCGCGTCCTGATCCTCATCGTCCTCGTCCTCCTCCTCATCATCATCAGCATCGCCATTGTGATTTTTAGCAACATCAATATTACCACCATCATCACCACCATAACCATGGTCCCAATCATCACCACCACCACCGGCATCATCATCATCATCATAAGCAGCATCAGCATCAGCATCAGCGTCAGCATCAGCGTCAGCATCATCATCATCATCATCATCATCATCATCATCATCATCATCGTCATCGCCATCGTCAACGTCATCATCATCAACATCATCAATATCATCGCCACCATCACCACCAACATCATCATCATCATCATCATCATCATCATCATCATCATCATCGTCATCAGCATCACCACCGTCATCATCATCAGCATCATCAGCATCAGCATCAGCATCAGCATCATCATCGTCATCGTCACCGTCACTGACAACGATGTCATCATCGTCCTCGTCCTCGTCCTCGTCCTCGTCCTCGTCCTCGTCCTTTTCCTCCTCCTCGCACCCCCTCCTTATGTTTCTCCTTCTCATCCTCATCCTTGCGGCCCCCTCCTCTGTCTGGAAGGCCGCGAACATCTCCAAGATAAACGGACAGCGCCACTGCCGTGCCTCCACACAGATGTCCCGCTCTGCCTATTCCAGGGAGAAAGGGAAGGACGGGAAGGATGGAGGAGGATGTGAAGAAGGAAACGAGAGGGAAAGGAGGAGGAGGGGAAGGAGGAGGAGGGGAAAAGGAGGAGGAGGAGGAGGGAAAGGAGAGGGAAGGAGGAGGAGGGGAAGGAGGAGGAGGAGGAGGAGGAGGCGGAGGAAGAGGAGGAGGAGGACGAGAGTGAAAGGCGGAGGAGGAGGAGGAGGAGGAGGAGGAGGAGGAGGAGGAGGGGAAGGCGGAGGAGGAGGAGGAGGAGGGGAAAAGGGTGGTCGGCCCCATCTCCCATCTCTACCTCCGTCTCCGACGCCGCGGCCCGACCGGCCTGCGCTTCCAAAAGGGGGGGGGGGAACGAGGACGCGCCAGTCAAGAGCTCGCGGCCGAAACTTCGAGTGCGCCCCGTGAGAAAGGAACAAGGGAAATAAATGGAGTCGAGGTTTGTAGTCCGAACTGCTATTACGCGAGATGTCCAATAATAACATTCGACAACATGGCAGAATCGCCACGAAACGAAAAATCAACATAAAACATGAAGACGTGAATCCACACTGAATTCACTCCTAGCACCGGCGAAACCAAGGGAGCCTGAACTCCAACCAACGAGCCCAAGGCGCCCCGACCGTGAGGACGACGCGGACCGCCTCTCATAGGCAGGGAGCTCCCGCTCGAGACTTGCTCCATATTCACTCAGAGGCGAGTCTCCCGCTTGAGACGTCCTCCAGATTCAGGCCTCAGGAGCTCAAAAAGAGGACAGCTGCGGGACCTGGATGACCCGCTCGGATGAGTAGCATGATCTGGCGGCCCCATACGGAGGGGGCTTCCGCTCGAAACTCCCCACGTACCCACTCAGAGACGAAGCTCCCAACTCGAGACCATGACCGGTGGTTATGATGACCGGTGATCCTGGTGGGATGGTGATGGTGGTGGTGGTGGTGGTCTAATGATGCTGGTGATGGCGAGTGCGAAAGCATGACGTGGTGATGTGAATGACCCATGGTCATGATGGAACGCTGATGCTGATGATGGTGGTGATGATGATACCGATGATGCTAATGATTATGATGATGATGCTCTTGCTGATGCTGATGGCGGTAATGATGATGATGAGTATGATGATGATGATGATGATGACGATGATGATGATAATGATGATGATGCTGATGATGATAATGGTGTGATGATGGTGAGGGGTGTAAACTGAGTGTACTGATGGGGAAAAGGGAAGCGAGTGAGAAGGTTCCTGCGCGGGGTGCCCAGAGAAAGCAAGAACCCCACTTTTGATGTGGGGTGAATCAATAAAACCATGCTGTTAGTTCTATGAGCCACATAAACTCATATGTGTTCCAAAAGGTCAACCGTGCCTGGCTGGGACCACCCTTCGCACCCCAGACCTGTCGGAAAACATGTGAACTTATATAAGGTATGGGCATACCCATGTGTGTGTGTGTGATGTTACTGCTTTGTGTTGAGAAATGCATGGCAATAGCAATGTTCCCCATAGGACCGGTACGCGTTTCAATGGGGTCCTCCATGCAAGCGCACCCGAAAGGCCAAAGTGAATTCATCAGGAGGGCGGGCCGGAAGGACTGGGGAACATGTAAGAGAAGGAGGAAGGGGAGGAGGAGGAAGATGAGAAGGATAAGATTGGAACAGGAGGTGGGTGGGGGGAGGTGGCGGGGTAGGGAACGAGAGAACGAGTACGAGAGAGAGAGGGAACCATGGCGACAAGCCTTGCTACTTTCGTCGGTTCTCCCAAAACCCATCAGAATCAATAGCAAATACATTCCATAAAAAAAAACAGAATTCTCTGACAGATCAGACGTGCCCGACTGGAACCACCACCTCGTGTCTCAAATTTGTTGGACAACAATTTATGTTATAGCACGTATGGAAGCAGCCATGCTTAATTGTAAGTAGAATTCCCCAAACAGTGTTTGCCCTTAGGGGATCTCGCTTCTTACTCGTGAACTAGGTCTGTCTGTCGGTCGGGAAGCTATATGTGACCGCCGACGCCGCCCTGTCGCCGCTTTGTCGCCGCTGGCCGTCTGGGCCTGTCTGTCAGTCTGGCGGCTATGTGGCCGCCGTCGCCGCCCCGTCGTCGCTTCGTCGCCGCCCGTCGTCTGGGCCTGTCTGTCAATCTGGCGGTTATGTGGCCGCCGTCGCCGCCCCGTCGCCGCCTCGTCGCCGCCCGTCGTCTGGACCTGTCTGTCGGTCTGGCAGCTATGTGGCCGCCGTCGCCGCCCCATCGCCGCCTCGTCGCCGCCACGGATTGAACAACATAGACGACACAGCATAGGAATGCGCACCAGAAAGATAGAATCGCATAGATCGTACCACAAACTGCAGAACATAGCTTGCACAAAATAGGTTGCAAGCATAAGCTGCAGGCCTTACCCTCTCATCCTCTGGAAAATATACTATGCGCGCACTCTCGTATCAAAAACCATAAGTTGTCAAAAACCCTTGAAGGAAAACAAAAACAACCACAACAACAACAACAACAACAACAAAACGAGGTGCACACGCGCGCGTGGTCGCGCGCGCATGCCGGAGTCCTTCCAAAACCTTTCTGTGTCGTAAACGTGTTATAATCGAGTGTCGCGATTTTTCTTTAAGCAATGGTTTCGTATGTTGTTCATAGGTTGTTCCGCATGCTCATCAAATGCGACCAAACGGGCGTATCGCGCGCACATGTCGAAATCGTTCGAACGCCCTGGCTCGCGTGCTGATGGGGGGGGCACGACCCCTGTCAAATATGACCATGCGGACCACTCGCGCCTGTTGGCCGCGCGCGCGCATGTCGATCTCCTTCCAACACCTTCATCGCCGACACGTGCACACTATCATCGTCACTGGCATGATCAACATCGGCGCCGTCATCAGCATCGTCATCCTCGCCACCAGCATCGCTGCTATCATCATCGTGTTTGCCGTTGCCGACGTCGCCATGATACTCCGCCCGCCCGAGCCACCGACCTGCACTGAAGTGGCCGCGCGTCAGCGCGGCCTGCGAGACGCGCTGGGAAGTGCCCAGCGGTCAGCGCCACCGCGGCCGCATCGGTCGCGCCAGGCTAGCTGGCTGCTCTGCGCGCGAGCCGGCGCGCGCTAGCGCGGCCGCAGTGTGTGCCAGCCAGCGCCAAGCAGGCATCGCAATCGCCTCCGCATGGATTTTGCTACGTAACCGAATTGCGGGTGGGCGGGTCACCGAGACTGCACCACATAGCTTGCGCATTATAGATTTGAACCGCATAGATTGCACCGCGCGGGTTGCACAACATATATTGCACCACGCTGAGCGCACAATCTTTTAGCACATATATTGCACCACACAGATCGCACAACATAGATTGCTAGAAACACACTGTTTGGGGTCCACTCTGGATAACATGTTTTCTGAATGTTACTGATCTCGCGGATATCCAAACAGACCTTTACAGCGTGAGTAATTGCACGATTTTTTCCAACCCCCTTTTTCATCCCCTCCGGGGAAGGGTTTACCACTGTTCCTTATTAATGTACACCCCCTCCCCGAGGCGACCGGGAACCAACCAGGCACCATGCCGACACCATGCCGACCCGCCCCCCACCATCCCTGTCAAAAAAACGATACGAGCCGCACTTTGCTTCCACATTTGGAGCACGCGCGGCCAACCCGATGCGCCCCCCCCACCATCCCTGTCAGAAAACAACGCAAACTATACTTTGGGGCAAAGTCTTGAATCATGTTCGTGAGGCCCGCGAGGACATTGTATTGTTTTTGACGAGGACGGCGGGGGTGTCAGCATATTCCCTGTTACGCGCAGGGCTACCATCCCTAACAAAAAACATGCAACATGCACCTCGCGGCTAAATCTGGATCATGCGCGGCCATCCCGCGATCACTGTCTAGTGTTTTTTGACAGGAACGGCGGGGGTGGTGACGCGTGCCCTGCTGTGCGCAGGTCCACCAGCCACAATGATGGGCATCGGTTTTCGACAACGATGGCGGAGGCCGACATGTTTCCCGATGTGTGCTGTCACGTGCGCAGGCGCACCTCAAGCACTCTGCATGTGTCCCGAACGCGGCGCACCTGGCACGGCTGGAGTGCGCGGCACACCTGGCGCACTCGGAGCTCTGGCGCACCAGGCGTGCGTGTCACGCTCGGGCCCCAGGGGAGCCTGGCGCGCGTGGCGCCCCAGGCACGCGTGATGCACCTCGCTAAAGCGTCGCGCACCTGGGGTCGGCTTTGGTTCCCAACAACTGTCCATCCAACAACGACCGCTGAACGTGCTCAGGCTCGAGTGCTACTTCTGTTTAGGTAGGGCGGGTGGGGGTGTGCTGGACGGTTTGCGGGCGGGTGGGTAGCTTGACCCCGCCCCATCACCCCCTCCCTCTGGGTCTGAACGAGGGGATCCGCGAGGGGCTGGAGCGTCCAAGATGGCAAGGTGGCTTCGATGAGGAAGCCAAAATCATTGACTTTACCCAATCTTTGGCCACATGTTGGCCTCCTGGGGGGGGGGGGGGCTAATTCAAGAGTTCCCTTCCTCGGGTCAATCTCCTCCAAGATGGCCCCAAAATGGCCCCCGAGGCCACCCAGGGCGCCCCAAGAGTGCCCCAAGAGTCGCCCAGGAAACCCAAAGGGGCTCCAAAGAGGCCCCTCGGCGAGAAGGCCTAAACCATTCGTTTCACGAAGGCGTTGGCCACATGTTGGGCTCCGGAGGTTGGGGTTGGGACCCCGAATAAGGGGCCCCCCTCCTTTGAACGATCTCCACCAAGATGACCCCAAGATGACCCCCGAGGACCCCTAGAGTGCCCCAGGAAGGAGGCGCCCAGGAGGGAAGCCCCCAAGATGCCCCCACGAGTTCCCAATATGCCCCCAAGAGGCTCTCAAGAGACCCCCAGGGGGCTCCAAGAAGCCCCACAGAGGCACCCAGGACGCCACAAGAGGCCCCCGGGACTGCCCAGAGACCCCCAGAAGACTCCAAAAAACACTCGACCGAAATCCGA